AGAAATAGCCACAGGAAATGGTGATAAGTGAATAAGAGGATATGGAATCTGCCTCCCAAATCTTGCTGGGCCTCTTTCAATGTGGGGCTTTGGAAAGACTGTTAGATACAATAATAAAAAGAGTATTAAAATGGAGATTCGATAGCTGGTTGTTGGAATGCTGTAATGCGAACATGAGCCGGAAACTGCGTTCCCTTCCTTAGAGCACACAGAAATTTATTTACATACTGTTGATTTTTGTTGGCTCATTGGAAATTCTTTGCACTCAACAGTGTTAACATAAACAGCACTTCCTTCCTTTAATGAGTACAGTGGTATTTATCATTTCAACAATTTAAAATCTAGCAATTGCATGTCAAACTCTGGGATAATTACAATGTTTAATGATGCCTTACAGTTTACAAGACACTTTCCCACACAGACCATCCAATTCTCCCAACAAGCTGGGAGGTCAGTGTTGTTATTATCTTTGTTTTATAAAAAAGAACACCAAAGTTCGGAGAGGTTAAATCACCTCTGAGACTTTATTTATTTTAATTTCATTGCTTATTTCCTGTTATATTCAATATACTTTTCCGAATATCACTGAGCTAAGTGAATTAGGACTCACTACACTGGAACATTAGATATGGGAAAATAAGGCTGAACTTCCTCTTGCTATTGTTAGAATACTTTGTATATTTACTCAATCTTTAAAATTCTATGATTTTTGAGTTCTTAAACCACAACTTGCTAAAAGAAAACATAGACTAATTAAATGTTGGTGATGGTTGCACAACATTATTGATGTAATTGGTTTCATTGAATCGTACAAGTGAAAAATGTTGAATTGGCAAATGTGTTATCTATATTTTTATAACAATAAAAAATTTGTTAGGAAATAAAGTCTGCGTATGACATTCTCTCACTTTTTAAATTTTTCCTTCATATTTAAAGGATATTTTGCTGGATATGAAATTCAAGATTGGTATCTATTTCCTTTTGTCCTTTAAATATGTCATTCCATGGTCTTTTGACTTCCATTATTACAACTGAGAAGTCAGTCATCAGTTTTGCAGTTGCTCCTTTAAAAAGCAGTATTTCTTTTACACTGGTATAAATATATTATTTTTCCCTTTAAGAAAAAAAGTACCTCCTGTCCTATGCACTATGTCAAATCATGGGAAGCTGTGGACTTTGTCATTATTACCTTTTATTATGCACTAATTGCATAAAGGCCCTGCCTTCTTCATTCATCAACAATGTCTTTCTTCATCCACTAAAATAACCTTTGACCAAGTTTCCTGGCTTGGAGGATCACCCAAAGGAAAGGACACGTATCTCTGTTAGGTCAGTGTGTCTTTTCATTCTGAATCATCTGTGTGGGTTGATTTAGTGATGGGCTAGATTCCCATCTGGATTTGCCAGGGATGTCTGGCAGCAGAATAAACTAAGGAAGATGATTTCAGCCTCATCGCTATAATTTCATTCTGTGTAAACTTCTTTTCTTATCTACAGCAAGGACCAGTCTAAGAAAACACAGCTACAGAGCAAATTTGTGGGGTTCCCCCAAATCTTAGCCTTCTGTTGAGTGTTCCAATTGATTTTACCTTGGCACAGGGGGGGAAATCACAACGATACTTGGTGGCTGACTCTTTGACTTATGGTGTCACGTCCAATTGGCTCACCTCTGATTTCAGCTGTAGCTGTAGTACATGGTCATATGCAAGCTCAGGATCACCGTGTGCTGACAGCCTCTCATCTCAAGTGCATGCCACACATCCTTTTGTTTTCTGCCCAGAATTTACAGGAGACTGGCCTGAGCACAAGTACAGCCCAAAAGTGCAGGGGAGTTAACATCCCTGGGGGTGACCCTCAACCAACAAGAGCCAGTAGCCCCTCACATTTTCTTTCCCCTTTTTCCTGTCTTAGTCATCCCAGTCCCTCATTTCTGCTCCCTAGGATCATCTCCCACATAAAATGCCTGCATACAAGTCCTTGCTCTTCAGAGTAATGGTGTGCATAGGTTGAGATACTGCCCCTTCACCTTCAGCAAAGCCTTTGGAGAGTGAGGAATCCATCTCCATCTCTAGAAGAAGCTGAGAGGTGGCACTTAAGAGGTCATTAGTGCCTCCAGCAACCATTAGTAAATGCTTATCAGTATTTGCTGAATAATCTTCAGGCCACCTTCCCAGTGACTTAAAATTAGGATTTAATTATGGCCTTTATAGTATTGTCCAGTGAGAGGGACCTACCCAGGTCCACCTTAAAAGGACTTAAAAGTTGTGTTCCAGGTCAGCATTGCTGAGTCCAAGACACCACTTACAGTTGAACATGGATAACTGCATTTTGTGGATTCGAATGTTAAAACTAGACAGAGTCCTAGAATTCCCAGACTAACATTCTGTTTTTACCGGTTGAACTTGAATGAGTTGTTCAAGGCTGCATAGCTGGTTAATGGGAATGGAGGGACCAGAACCAGTTTTCTAGATGTTATCTACTGCCCTAAATGAAAATGAGATGACAAGGCCCTTTCAAGACCATTCCGGATTTTTGGGCCTTTGTATTTACTATTACCTCACGTGGAATATTCCACCAGACTGACTTCTTATTGTTCAGTCTCAGCTCTATTGTCAACTCTTCAATGAGGCCTTTCTTGATCACACTTCCTTGGTCCCTCCAGCCACTATGACATCATCCTGTTTTGTTATTTTCATAGCACTTATCACTACCTGATATTATTTTGTTTATTTATTTGTTTATGTGTTTATTATGAGTCTACCATCCACTAGAATGTAAGCCACGTGAGAATAGGGATCTTAGCTATCTTATTCCCTGCTTTATTGCTGGCACCTAGGACAATGCCTGGCATACAGCCAGTGCTCGATGTTTGGATAGAATGAATGATACCAAAAAACCTGTTGCTGTTGAGTCAATTCCAACTCATAGCAACCATATAGGACAGAGTAGAACTGCCCTATAGGATTTCCAAGCAGTGCCTAGTGGATTTGTACTGCCGATCTTTTGGTTAGCAGCCGTAGCTCTTAACCACTATGCCACCAGGGTTTCTGGAAGGAATAATAGCTATCAACAGTGTGCTATACCATGAACCTCACTTGCCCTTGTTGTAACAATATGACTGCTGTTTTTGATCACACAGTTAGATCACTGAAAAGAGTCCAGCCCTCTGGCTAGTGGAGCTCAGGGGTTAACACTTTTTAATCTTTGGCATATCTCACGATCTGGTCCTTGGGCTATTCATCCAAGGGTCGTGCAGTCTTTTCCCTAGTGGTCTTCACCATAAGCTCAGGGAGAGGCCAACACTCCATCAATGTCATCACGACACACAAGACGATGGAGAACCTAAATTCTCTTCAACCTCCCCTTTGGCATATCTTTAGCTTAGCGTCTCTTAGCTCAAGTATGTTGAGTGGAAACAGATTAAGGCCCTAGAGGTAACAGATGTGGAAAGAATTCTCATACCTGGTTCTAGGGTTTAGTAGGGCAGAGGGAAAAGGTGTTCTAAGGGTCACACATGGTTCAGATTAGCTTACCAGGAGAAGGAGTCAACTAATGATTTGGGTAAACGGCTCTGGGTAGGAATAACATCTGTGCATTGAGGCTCATGCTTCCTATGCTATATATTCTCAGAAACCTTAAATGCAGTGTTAGGAAACTGCATAAAAATGTGGTCCAGCAAGGGAGAGATGAGGGAACTGCAACACAGAAAGCATGAATAACAACTTTTCCTTAACAATCATTTTCAGATACTTTTAACCTGATAGTACCTTCACAGCTTTGTCTCTTACTTACTCACATCTTTTTCACCTTAAGGCTGCTGAGGCCAACCTTCAACCTGATGTACTTGCTTAAAATTGGCCTACTTTGTAAAAGAAACCCTACAATTTCCTCTCCGTGTATGTATTGGAGTGGAAAGGATCAGTTTAATAATGATGACACCAAAGTTGAAATTTGGAGATCTTAACATGGAAACATAAAATTTTAGAG